CTCACTGCTTTGCCGCAAGTATGGACCTGCCCCATAATACCGAGCTCCCTTCCGAGTCCCCAACTACGAGCCACAATCTCACGACAATCCGCTTCACGAAGCCAAACATTCTCAAATTTGAACTTACGTCTCCTGTGTACAACTTGAGACGGGACTAATTTAATAAAAAGGGCCATATGATCACTCGGTGATCCTTCCAGCGATTCGGCCAAAGCCTACCCAAACAAATCAAGCCAGCTCTCCGTAACCAGGATCCTGTCCAATTTTTTTTCGACCCAATTAGCCGAGCCTCTCCACCGTTCCCAAGTGAATTGATATCCCTGAAAGTGAAGACCACATTCCCAAACTGTCTCCCGAAAGCCTCTCATAAGCCAAGGCTGTTGTGGAATCCTACCCCGCTTCTCCGAGGCAACCATAATGTCATTGAAATCCCCTATTATAAGCCAGGGAAGATCAACTCCTACACTCAGAGATTTAAGCATTCCCCATGATTCTTTACGTCTGGGACGATCTGGGAACCCATAAAAGCCCGTGAATTGCCACTCAGGAGCCCCCGATTCCAATTCAATTTTTACATCAATAAAATTACTACTCGAGCCAAGCAACTGAACCTCCACCCCCTCACCCCATAATAGAGCAAGACCACCACGGTGACCCACACAGTCCACCACCAGGCAAAAAGACATCCCCGACTTTCTTTTTACACTATCAACCTTACTATATTTAGCAAAAGTTTCCATGAGAAACACCAACGTCGGCCTCTTTAAGCGGACCATATCCACTAATGCTTGAACTGTCGCTGGGTTGCCAAGCCCCCGACAGTTCCAACTGATGCAACTCATTGATCCCGGCGGGCCTGGAAACCAGTACCCGCCGCTTCCACGTTTTTTGAGAAGGAATAATCCATGTTTTGCCCTTCATTAGTGTCATCCGAAGAAGATGACCCATCTGCCTTCCTCTTTTTTGTCAGTCCTCCTTCACCAAGACCAGAAACATCAACTGTCGGCTCCCCTTCCTTTGACGCAGTAGGTGATTCCAACAGAGCAGGTTTCCCAAAGAGGAAATTACCTTCTCCATCCACCAGCCAACGGCTTCCCTGACTAGAGCTACCCCTCCTGTAACCAGCGTTTAGCCAAGCCCCATACAATTTTTCTTCCCCCCTGCAGCAAATTCAAACCTTCTAGGACACATACGATCACTATGATTCATAAGACCACAAATAATGAAGCAATAGTGCGGCAGCCGTTCGTACTTCAGATTTATCCAGAGAGGCTCCCCTCGACGTTTCAGTTTTACACGTTGTTTCAGAGGAGTTCCAACATCAACAGAGACCCGAATACGCATAAACTCCTTCCATCCTTTTTTATAATTTTTCTCGTCTGCCTTGATAAACTGACCAATTTGGTTTCCAATGATTTTAGCAATGTCTTCTGTGAAAAGATCCTGATGCAGGTTAAAAGCCCGCACCCAGAATTGTGTTCTATCAAGTGCAACGCTGGTAGGGTCATCATATGTCTCCAGTTTATGTAAAATAAGAAGTGTATTTTCATAACACCATGGTCCATCAACCTGGATTCTCTCAACATCCCTCTCATCATGGAATTGAAAGATAAATCTGTGTTCCCCAATTTCCTTAATATTAACCCCTCCCATCGGGCGTCAGACGTCGGCCATAGTGTCACGGAAAAACGGAAATTTTATGAACTTATCTGTTAGGAGGCGGCCAACCATGCAGCGCGGTGTAAAACTCGACGTGGATTCCGGCACAATCTCATCGATATCCACTCCTTCATCGTCTGCGTCGTGTAAGTTCATCCGGGCATACATATCCTCCATGTCCTCAGCCATACTAACGTAAAACAAGCCAAGAATCGGCAAGAGAAAACCAAGATCGAAGTAACGGCGGCAAAGCCCTAGATGACTAGGGAGAACTGTCAGCAGTGCATTAGAACGCCACACAAGACAAATTTTTTAAGAGATTATTAGAAAAGTGATTTGTAGTAAAAGTTGGTAGTGTTTGGAAATAGAAGTGATTTTAATTAAAATGTAAAAGTTGGAGTGTTTGATAAAAAAACGATTGTGATGTGATATTTTTGTACAAAAATATCCTTGAATATCATACCTATCTCTACGCCGGAAGAGCTCCTAACCAGCTTTTCCTTCCACTTCGCAACTTTCAGCTATGAAAGAGTAGTCCTAAACTCTGTATGTATATGTGTATATAAAATGGCAATATCATTAATTAATTAACATCAACAAAAACCATATAAGCCGATAAGTCAATCCCTCTGTTCTCCAGAATAGCACCGACCCCATCCTGTTTTTCTTCTTCAAGCCAATCGTCCACTCAGCTAAGGTGGAAGTCGAAGAAGAAGAGAAAATATGTGTTCTTGTTGGATCTCAAATAGTTGGTGGCGGCCGGAATTTTGACTCTCTCCATGTCCTCAATAACAAAAACTACTTCTGTACACCTTCTTATACACATTAGTACACCCCATTGTATGTGAGAGTTTTTTTATCTGTGAATGGCAGTTCACAGACAAAACCTGACTTGTTTTGTCTGTAGAATTTTCCACAGACAAAAAAAACTCTCACAGACAATGAGGTGTACTGATGTGTATAAAAAAGTGTACACCAAAAATTTCCCCCTCAATAATATGAACGACACAGAGTGGGCAGAGTCTGGGAGGCAGCAGGTAGAAACAGAGGGATAAAGGGTATTTTGGGTTTTAGCTGGCATTATAACTATCCTTAGAGTTAGGCTTATTTACCAAAATCCCAGGTAAAAGCATCCCCAACCCAACTTCCAACTTTTGGCTTAAAACTACTTAAATTAAGTAAAAATTTTCATTTGCAAACACTACTTTTTGCTTAAAATTACTTAAACTAAGTAGAATTTTTCATTTGAAAACACTACTTTTAACTTTTTGAAAGTCAAAAGTGCTTAGACCATCTGTAGTGGTTAAGAGTCTATATTGTTAAATTTGGACCCCGTCCATATGAAAACAGTGTTTAGACTCCGTCAATACTGTTTTTCCCTGCATCCGTGCACCGTCAATAAAATACACTCTGCGTATTTTTTTGCATATCAATTTAGTAAAACATTAACTAAATTATTATAATTAATATTTTACTTTTAATTTTTCCCCTGAATAATTATGAAACAAAAAATACACATTTTGATGTAAAAATAAATAAATTTCATTAATTATTTTTTAATGTTTTTCGATTAACAAAAAACGAACTTAGTTCAAGTAAAGTTCGATTATAAATATTCAGTTATTTTTTAAAGCTCTATAAATGAAAATTTTGTGTTTCATATTTTTTGGGCTCAAGAAAAGTTCAACAGCTAAAAATTCAGTTTTTTTTTTCATTTTATATATTACATATTGGTGTCATATGAAAGATCTTAAAAATTCATGAATTATGATATATTTCTTGAAAACATTGAAGAACAAATACAAAAGTTATAAAAGTTTGAAATAATTTGGAGTAATAATGACATCACCATGATGGAAGCATGTTTTCTTTCCAAGGAGCGTATGATGCTGCGTGCCGGCCCCTTCCCTCATTTTAATTTCCTTTTCATTTACTTTTTGGCTGGCAATACACTTTCAAATTTAAACTCTTCCATCCCCTCCTCCATATTTACTACCCTCCATAACCCACCAATGTATGAAATTAGGAGTCCAAAAATGTCATTTTAACATTTTGGACTCCTAATACCTCACCACTCCAATCAGCCTTAAAATAAGCAAGGGAAATTTGTTAAATCAGTCCCGTAACTTTAGCCTATAGCTGATACTGGTCCTCTAACTTTATGTACTTGCAAAATACATCCTCCAAATAATATATTTGTTCAATTTTAGGACATTGACGTCCGAAAGTTAAATTTTGGCCGGAAAGTTACATGTCTATCTCCCGCTATTGTAATCTTTTCCTAACTTTTGCAGCTGACATGGATGTGTGTCCCACTTTACGACTTATTCCCAAACACTTCATTGTGCTCTCCCATGCTCTTCCAAACTCCCCATTAGAACAATAAAAGCACAAAACTTAAGAGAAACTTAAGAGAATAACGGAGGCTTCGTAACTCTTGGTCTGGCTTCTCCACATATTGAAGGAAGGTGAGTGTGTTCCTCTAAACTGCAAATAATGGCTCAGGCAAGGATATATTCCATTCTAGAAGGCCGGTCTTTTAATTTTGATGGTTTCGAATTTTGCTTGAAAATATTAAAGATTTTATATGTATGTAGTACTCCCTCGGTCCCCTTTTAAATGTTCCGGAATAGGGTGACATGAGTTTTAAAAAAAGTGGATTTGTATGGTTGATATTAATTGATAAAGTAAGAATAAAGTAAAAATGATTTTGAGCCACACAAATTTTAACAAATAAGGTATGAGACAATTAAATAGGGACATCCCAATATAGTAAAACGGGACATTTAAAAGGGGACAGATGGAGTATTACTTTGATATACAAGAAAAGAATTTCTAATGTTAAAGGTTCTAACAAGACATTATATTGGAACAAGAATAATACGAGTAGTTGATTAGCAACACTAACGAGTTGTCTTTTACTTGGACCGTTTCTGTAGTTACAAATGGAGGCTCTTAAAATTGAAAAGTGTTAAGAATTTTTTTAAAAAATAGCCTGAAGTGCAGTGTTTTCAGTATGTTCACTTTTACAATTTCGTATTTGGAATTTATAAGAAATAAATTGAAAAAATAGGGTCCCAAGTTCAGGTCAGCTAGGTCATATGAAAAAAAATATGAGCAGGTGGCGCTGATGTGTTAATTTCCGGCGGAATTATTACTCTCCGGCATAAATGTCCTGAAATTGCACAAATGTGTTAATTAGAGGATGTATTATGCAAGTAAATGAAGTTAGAGGACCAATATCGGACACGGCCAAAAGTTACTCAACTAATTTAACAAATTTCCCAAATAAGCAAAGGCAAACACTACCTAACACGCGCGTCCTTCAGCGGTGTATAAATAAGCCGGTCTGGTCCACTCCACTGTGGACCTCGAAGTTGGGAAGTTATAGGAGGTTGGGACTTGGGTCGCGGCAGACGACATGGCTGCGCGGTTTCTGTGGCGCGCCCAGACAAAGCTGTTATTCGGTTCCGCCGTCCTTGGTGGCGGAGCTGCCGCCGCGGCTATTGCCAGTTCCGATGACCCTCTCACCGCTCTCAAGCTTTGCTCCACTGTCCCGCTTCGCCTCTTCCGCGATTCCGTCACCGCCGCCGCTATAGCTTTCGGTATGTTCCGATTCACTAATTGTCTCTTAACCATCCTGTTGCCCTACTGTCTCTGTAATAGCCAATAGAGGTAAACAGGTTCTATGGAATATTAAGAAGACCCAATGAAATCCGACCAAATGAGTCTATTAAGCGTAACAGTAGCTGATTCCTTGCATAGAATTTACTTTGAACTATTAAAAATCACATTCTAGGTTGTTATAAATTGGTCATTATATAATCTCTTAGCTCGGGCGCAGGGACGGATCCAGGATTTTGGGTCAAGGGGGTGAAATTTTTCGTTAGTGTAGGAGGTGAAATTTTTTTTCGTTAGTGTAGTGGGACGAAAGTTTTCCCCCTAGTGTAGCGGGGCAAAATTTTTTCACTACTGTAGAGCTATGCGGCTATTTTTATTAAAAAATGACATTAATACATATATATCCCCAACGACATATAAATCTATTACATTCTAAATTTAGACGATGACACAGACATCAGCCAATACATTTTTAATAACTTCTACTAGTATATTGTTTAATCTTATGAATCAGTTATTGAATTGTAATTTTTGTCCATCAAGGAGGGTGTTCGTGAGTCATGACTCATGAGAAGTTTTCTTAATAATACAATAGTAGTATGTATGAGATTATTATTTTTAGAATAATATGCACCACATACACACACTATATGGTGCATATTATATTTTAATATTTGTATTAATGCTATAATAATTTAAATTTTATTATCTATGCAATAAATTATTTTTAGAAAGCAAGAAGTAAATGAATTATGTAATTTAATGTCAATAAATATTTATATTTTGGATTCATTTCACGTGATCTAAAAACTGTGTAATTAGTGTGTCTGGTATTTAATATTGTTTGATATATATTTTACAAAATTGAGTACTTGTTATCTAATAAAGATAATTGCACATTACAAAACTAGGAATTCTTATATAATAAGTATCCTAAATCTTAAACAACGAGTTATGTAAATTATATTAGATGTTATTTCTTTTAAATATCCAATTAAGTATTACATTATGTAAGACTATATATTAATTTTGAAAATTAAAAGCTAAGGGGGGCGAATATAATTAAATTATGAAAGTTTTATGAAAATATTATATATATGGTAGAAATTTTTCAAAGTCCAAGGGGGGCGGTCGCCCCCCCCGCCCCCCCCCCCCCCCCTAAATCCATCCCTGCTCGGGCGGCCAATTTGTTTCAACGGCCAGATCTTGATCTATACCAAGTTACTAACTCCTAAGAGGACCAACTTGTTCAACTATATTAGGAGTTTAGGACCCACTGCAACTTTTTGAAACTATACAATGAAGTTTCATGTAATCATTTTGTTAGAAACACTTAAACACATTTCTAAATTCTAACACTTAAATGGACTTAGAACCCTTAGCCATCATGACGCTGTTGTAGAGAATTGAAAGGGGGTAAGGTAATGTGTGTAGGTGAATGAATGATAGCCAAACAACATAGATCATTATTACTCTCCCTCTAGATGAAATTTTCGGTGCTTGCTCAAGCATATCCTTCAACACTTGAACTTTCGCTACTCACATAAGCATTGTCAATACATCAACCCCCCCCCCTTTCAATATCAAAATACTAATGCTTTCTGTATATTGAAAGCACATAACTGAAACTTACAAGTTACAACCATTACTAACTAATACAGTCTTTATATATAATAAAAGAAAGGACTAAACTAATTGTTTTGTGTGAGGTATAAGACATGTGTTTCTAGAAGCTTACAGATGTGATTCTAGAAATATACAGCAATTTTCAGCAAAACCCTGGCCTGAATAAACCTCAAAAGGATATACTCCTCCTTGTATTTTTATATCATTATTGTACAATTACAGTTTTGGAGTCAAGTTTCATTTCAAAGGTCAAGTCTTGGTCTATAATGGTGTATATCAGATTATGAGTATTCGCTCTGGGGACTACCCGAAGGTAGTGCTGAAAGACAAAAAGTCAGGCATGAAGTTCATCTGAGAGGTGCACGCAGACTTGAAGAACTTTGTTTCAAAAATGGTGGAATATATATAAAAATTGGTCAACATCTTGGTCAGTTGGTATGCTACTTATACCCTTTTTTTTTAGGTAATCGCATAGTTGATTGGATCACGTCTGTCTTTATTTTATGGTGACATAAGCAGAATCTCAATTGACATTCAATTGCATATATTAACCAATATAGTTGTTACGTTAATTGATCTGAGTTATAACTATTTTTTTCAGGAGTACTTAGTACCTGATGAATATGTTAGAACAATGAGGGAATCCATGCTTAATAGATGCCCCCAATCATCTTATGATCAAGTATGCGAAGTTGTCAAGAAAGAACTTGGAGGAAGACCAGACGAAGTATATTCCTAACTCCTAAATGCTATGTGAACTGCTATGAGCCTATGATTACTAATAGAAAAAACAGTGTCAATATATTCCTTATATACTACTTGCTTGAATTGTTGTTTTATCATATAAACACTTAATTTTTACAATTTCTAATGTAGATATTTGAAGAGTTTAATCCAGTGCCAATTGCAAGTGCTTCTCTTGCCCAAGTCCACGTTGCTCGAACACATGATGGGGAAAAAGTCGCCATAAAGGTTTCACAAAGTTGCAGTATGCATAGTTTTATAAGCAAATGTTCTAGCAAACTTTTTATCTTGATTTTCTTGTTTGATGACTGCAGGTTCAACATACGCACATAACAGATACTGCCGCTGCTGATTATGCCACCGTGTCGTTAATTGTGAACACGCTGCACCGATTTTTTCCTGATTTCGACTACAGGTTTGGAGATTCTTCTTCCTTGTGTAAAGATTGATCTCCCTCCATCCCTTATTTTTCTTCCCATTTGACTTTCACGGTTGCTAAGTAAATTAAATTGTAGGTTGAAATCTACTCACAAATGAAAGAAATTATGAACCACACAATTCTTTCCTTAAAACAAAACATGGAGATTATTTAGGGATGTATAAAAAAGGAATAGGTGAATAATTTTTTTGGGACAGGAGTAGTTAAAGGAAGTTTAGCTTCAGAGTATTCCAAGGAGACTGCTAATGATGTCACTCTCTGACTCTCTTTTCTCATGTATCTATTATTTGTGCTACCTACTGCTGACCAGTTCTCCTGATTTGTATAGGTGGTTGATTGATGAAATTCGCGAAAGTGTACCTAAGGTTAACAGTCTGCTTTCTAATTATTTTTGTTTCGTTTATCAGCATCACAACAAGCAAGCATTTTTACTTCTGTTACATGCACTGCTATTCCTTAGTTTTTGATGAAATGTTGACAATATTTAGTGGTGTTTATCAGGAACTAGATTTCCTTGTTGAGGCTAAAAACAGCGTGAAATGTATGGATAACTTTCGGAAGCTTTCTCCTCATATTGCAAATTATGTTTATGCCCCCAGGGTATATTGGAATTTGAGTACCTCAAAGTTGTTAACCATGGAATTTATGGATGCTGCACAAGTAAATGATGTGAAGACCATTCAGTCTCTTGGCATTCGGCCAACGGATCTGGCAAAATTAGTAAGTCTCACAGCTTATTTCTTATTCACGTGATTGTTAAGACTTAGATAAATCATAAATGTATTCCGAACTGATCGGTCTTCTTCTTTTAAATGTACTGATGTTATCACCTTCGTTTATATTACTTAAATTAGTGGGTGCCATGACTCACTTGGTTGTGTACTTGTGTATCACTATGCCTTGACCAAAATTTTCTGAAGCTTGTTTTGGTCTGGTTTACATTTCCTTAGATTGCTTTTTTTTGCTAACTATCTGTTAGTTAACTAGTTAATTCACAGTGAATTCAAGAAACAAGATGAAGAAAAGAGATGGCGTATCAACTGAAAGTGTCGTACAATAGAAAATATAGAGAGAAATATAAAGGCAGTTTAAGAGTGCCCACTCTCCAAGTCCCAAGCTCAAATGATAATTTTAACCTCCTTTCTATTCTACCCTCAACCTCTATTTATACTAACTCTAATACTCTTTTATTTCTTATTATTCTATGTGGGTCCCTATCATTACTCCCCCTTTGACAACCACCTTGTCCTCAAGGTGGGTGGTAGGAGACAGTCCTGACGAACAGCTTCTTCTTCATCTTTGCACCTCTTCCTTTCCAGTATCTTCCAAATTTCAGGACCCTGAACTTCATGAACTGAACCATTGCTGTCACTTTTTCCATAAGAAGCAGCTGAGGCAAGGGCATGGTTACATGATGCTTCACTAAACTCTGGCCAACACCAAGTGCTACAATCCTTACAGAGCCACTCTCATGGGCCAGGCCATCTATAATTGCAGGCAGAACCGGTGAAGCTTTTTGATGAGAGCAGTTGTCTATGCTATCAGAAACAACTTCCATTATAATATAGATTCTTCCTGAATGAGTAGCAACCACAATCATACGCCTCCCACCATTTCTGAAAACTGATAGAGGCCATGTGGATCTGCTCTATACCTTCAATATCTCTAGCCTCAAAATATATTTCAAGGAGAAAACTGTTCCTCTTGTTTGCTTCAAACAATTCTGATATGCACGTGAACAATTTATCAAACAGCCCCCGAGAGAAACATTCTTGAATTCTCTTTGCCTTCCCTAACTGGATCTGCATCCAACTTTCTTAGTTCAAGTGAGGAGAAAGAAGCCTTAAAGATTTTTCCAAGCAAGTACGGCTCCACTTCTATATTTCCAACATCATCAACTAGCTTGGATTCCATTAAAATTCCACAACTGGAACAGTTCACTTCGGGATCATTGAAGCATAAGACCATTTTATAAGGTTGAAAATTTTCTTCAGCTTCTATTACATTAACAATTTCTGGTTTTACAGATAAATCCATGAGTTTTCCCTCTGGGCGACATCAACTACAGCAACCTGAATAATAGTGTCCAGATCCACAATGATTTTACTCCACTGGTATTCAAGAGAAAACTCCTCAGCCCATCTCAGTCAAGAATTAAAGGATTCCCAAATGGCAGAAAGTATCAAACTGTAGCCCTTAACTTCATCCTCAATTGCCTTGTTATGTTGCCCCGGAATAATACAACACCTTCACCCCTAATGGCTTTGTTCGGTCACCCAATTCCCAAACCTTCTCTATTTTCCTGAGGGAGAAGGCTCAAATTGGATACTATGGTTTCATCAGAATCTCATATTTGACACTAAAGTTTTAAATGGACCAAATTAGACACTATGGTTTCATATGTATCTCATATTGGACACTAAAGTTTCATAATTCAATATAAGTGAGTGTCCAATTTGATCTTTATACAATATAAGTGAGTGTCCAAAACTTATGAATTATGAAACTTTAGTGTCCAATATGAGATACATATGAAACCATAGTGTCTAATTTGATCCATTTGAAACTTTAGTGTCAAATATGAGATTCTGATGAAACCATAGTGTCCAATTTGAGCGTTATCCCTTTTCCTGAATATCTTTTCACCAATTATCAAGGCCTCTTGGAAGATAGCATGATTGTTCTCATTGTTAAGCATCAGGAACATGTCGGCCTTATCATCAGTAGCATAATAACCCTTTTCCTTCCAATTCTCAATCATTCCTAGTTTCCTACCCCCAGCCCATTCTGGACATACTTCCCAGAAGTATCACCATCAAATCTGAAGCCATCAAACTTTATTCAGCCCCTCCAAAATTCTATTTGATGAACAAAGGTGCGCAATATTCCCTATAACACCCAACTCACGTTCTTGAATTCCACCCAACAAAGATTTAAAATATTCTGGGTTTCGTTCCAGTACAAGGGCATACCTCTGACCCTCATAGGTAAGGATAGGTGGGTGATACAGGTCCCCCTCATCAGCCCCTGTGGTAATGTTGTTCAGTTCCAAGACATGATCAGTGTGGTAGGTACGATTTCCTTCATGAGTGTAAGGAATATTAAATTTTAGCGGTTCGGACTCTTCCATATCCCCTGGTGAGTATCTCGTAGACTGATTAGTATCCTCGTCTGAATCCGATTCTGGAACTGAGGGTTCAGCCGGCTTCCACTCAAGATTTGGTGTCGTCAATAAAATCCCCAGTGTAGAAACTTCATCCGACTCGGAAACCTGCTATGAAACTTGAGATGACGATTGATGACGCTCTGTTAGCAACGGCGAACTGGTAGAAACGGTTGGCGCCTGAGACGAAGCTTGCAAACTCAGCGAAGCAAGTAGCGACGAACTCTGCGAAGGTTGAAGAGCGGTTTGCGAACTGTTCTTGCTTTTGGAGTTTCGGAAGCCCTTTATGGTCCTTGATCTTCCTCGCTTATGCCGATCGTTCTGCTGTATCAATTAGCGTGACTTCGCTAACTCCCTCTATCTCTTTTCGCTACTCCTCTCAAGTTCGCTTTACCAGATTTCCCAACTACTTTCCATCGTTTCATACTCACTTTCCTCCATAAGCGATACCAACGTTTGGTAATTAGGGTCCATCGTTACTTTTCTCTATTTGCGACTCCTCTCTAGTTCGCGTTCCCCGCTTTCCCAACTACTTTCCATCATTTCATAATCCATTCCCTCCATGGCGATACCAAATCTTTACTGTTTACTCTTTTGATGACCATGTTCAGGTGCCAGAACGATGCTCTGATACCAATGTTAGGTAACTAGCTAAGTCACAGTGATTCAAGAAACAAGATGAAGAAAAGAGATGGCGTATCAACTGAAAGTGTCGTACAACAGAAAATATAGAGAGAAATACAAAGGCAGTTTAAGAGTGCCCACTCTCGAAGTCCCAAGCCCAAATGATAATTCCAACCTCCTTTCTATTCTACCCTCAACCTCTATTTAATATTTATACTAACTCTAATACTCTTTTTATTTTTTATTATTCTATGTGGGTCCCTATCGCTATCTTCATTACATTTTGAAGCGGAGCCTTGGTACATCGATTGTGGTGTTGCTGCATGACCTAGATGTCATGGGTTCAAATCTTGGGAGCGGCGTCTTGTCAGAATGAAAAGGGAAGGCCTGCTTCATGTACACCCTTGTGGTGGGACCCTTCCCCAAACCTTCGCCTTGCGGGGACGCCTATGTGCACCGGACTGCCCTTTTATCTTCATTACATTTTATTGAAACATCTTCATTTAAAAATGATTACACTTTTCTACCTCTCTGTTAAATAATAACCGCCTATTCTACTGTGCACAGGTTAGTGAGATCTTTGCTGAAATGATGTTCAAGCACGGATTTGTGCACTGTGATCCCCATGCTGCAAACATGCTAGTTCGCCCCATGCCTTCTGGCCCAACAACATTTTTCGGTAAGCACGTTTCCATTTTTGAATCTATACATACATCTAAAATAACTATGTCTGCCTTCGCCTTTTTATAACATGACATATCAGTTTATAGAAACCAATGCAGTTTCCTCCTTGATATTTTTAAAGCCTAACTTAATTGAACTAATATGTGTGAACTTAGGAAGCATGATACTGGCCATTTCAGCTGTGTGTACCAACAATGCAGAAAAGTGCCTAATTGTTCTACAAGCTATCCTGTCTGTTCCTACTTTATTAGTTTTGTCTAAATAATTAGTCTGCAAGTTATCCTGGCTGTTCTATTTAATTAGCTATCTTTTGCCAGTAGTTTTTTTCTCCCTCCATCCCATTTTGTAAGATACACTTTCCTTTTTTGTGTGTGTAAAAAATATGAACACTTTCTTAAATTGGACTCCACTTTTTTTTTTTTTTACTTTCTCACTTTATCTCTTTATCTATTATTTGACCCTTTATTTTTTGTGGAATCATTTTTTTTCTTTCTTATTTTTTGGAGGTTAGAATTGTGAAACAACCACTTTGTCCTTTATTTTCACAAAACTCACACCAAACCCAGATGCATCTTACATTATGGGACGGAGGTAGTATTATTTACCTACACCAAACCCGTATTTTTGTCAATTTCTTATTCCTGAGCTGTAAAAGCTTAAGACTCTTTCTTATTCTTGTTTAGGTAACTGTCTTATTCCTATATAAAACATAGGAAATATTGGTTCTGAAAACGATCCCTTGTAATGAAGATCACAAAACATCTGATCTTAACCTCCTATCTGCTGTTTTTGGTCCCAAACCTGTACTACATCGCTTGTAACTGGTTAGGTTGTAAGTTTTTTTCCTTTTGTTTTCTGTATAAAATACTTTCTCTCTCCTTACATTTCCCTTCTCTCTTCTTCTACGCTTACCTCTCGGGCTTCCTTGTTCCCTCTTCATCTTTTAATCTTCTTAGTTTTTTGGAGAGAAACAAGCCCCCCACCATATCACATCAGTAAGAAATAAACATATACATAAGAACATTTTTAGAAACACAAAGGACAGATCCCTAAGAACTCCTAATTGTCCCCTGCAATGCTTAACATCACTTTAAAGTCCTCTTTTAGAAAAACAATGAGAATTCATTTACATATTTAGAAATAAAGCTCATGTCAAATTTGACAATATAAAAAATGGCCTCCATCATTGAATCTGAAACCCTCCAAAAAATTGAAACCGTGAATGGAAATTCCAAGAATGGGGGCAAAATTTTTTTATTCATGAAATTGAAGAGCCAAACCTTTTCTGCTCTCCTCCCCATGGCTGTGTAGCTGGTGATGAAATAATTTATTCATGTGATTTGATGCAGGTCTAGTTTGGGGTTTGCAGGATGAGGAGGAAAGTAGGGATATTTGAACGACAACTATAATAATAACAACAACAACAACAACAACAACAACAACAACAACAATACTACCTCCATCTCATTTTATGTGTCTCGTTTTGGTTTGGCACAACTATTAATGAAGTGGTTGAAAAAGTAAAAGTTATGGTTGAGGTTTGAGTATAATAAAGTGAAATGTGTACACCACATATTTCTTTCCAAAAGAGGAACGATGACACTTATCTTGGGACAACCCAAAAGGGAAAGTAAGACAGATAAAATGGAACGGATGGAATAGTAATAATAAACAGATTATACCATTGTATATTGGGTGATAGTATGAAACCAGGTCAATTGCATATGACTTGCTTAATAGGTAGCAGGTTACCATGGTCCAATATAAGAAGACGGATTATAAAGATTGGATAATTTTTAAATTAGCACTAAGTGGGACCGTTTTGAGAAGATGGGTGAAAGGTGGGATTATTAGATTCAATTTTCTCTAAAACTTATCACTTGGAATAAATAATTAGATTTGGAATATTTTATCTCTTGATCTGTTAGTGGAACCATCGATCAATTGCCTAGGGCAGGAAGTTAAGTGTTTATTTATTTATTCCAAATACAATAACTTCACATCCCTCTTTCCATCCTCAGCATCCTTGGACTAGATCTTGTACCAAGGCCCTTAACAAACAGGTATCACCATCCAGGACGATGGACAACAAACCTCTTATTCTCTTAACACTAAAACCTTCAAAAGTTTCATTGCAGATATCAAAACGGCATATCCTTAAGTTAAAATAGCACACCATCTTAAACAGTAGGTAAGGATCCCATCTCAACAACCAGAATCGTGACTCCGTGATTTCAACATCATTCCTCGCTTTTTGGAAGTTGATTTTCCATCCATTTTGACGGCACGTGCTACCTTCTTAGTTGGTTGAAATGTTTTGAGCAGTTTTTCGCAAACCCACAAATGACACCAATCGCACGCATGGGCTTGGCCACCTTCACCATGGCGAGCAATGCTTAACTTTGGGCTGATAAACTCCAATTAGACTTCTTCTGGAAGTCGGTTTTAGAGAATTCTCTTCTCTGTTTCGGCCCTCCATTAAGTTCCAACCCACCGGGAAATCTTTTTCAATTCTAACAAATTGGAATGGTGGAGGAGTACATCACATTGTTCCAGCAGCTATTGGTATTTGAAGGGTTACCCAGTCAATTCACGGTCAACGTAATTCATGGTCCCATATCAGGAATCCGTTTGGAACATGAGTTTCAAGATCTTTGTAGCTTAGAGTCTTAGACATTGCAATGAGCTTAGCTAGACAATTTGAACGTAAACATCAAATCGGGTCACTGCTTCCCGTCGTCGGTAGGGGTGGGCAAACGGGTCTTGGAACTGCGGTCCGGTCCGGGTAATGGCGGTTCGGGTCCAAAACGGGCCGGTTCCATTTTTTGTTGCCATAAAACGGTCCGGGTAGGGTCGGGTAATTTTTTTTAAAGAACCGGACCGGTTCCAAAATTAAAAAATAACGGGTACCCGGCCCGGCCCGTTATATATATTGTATATTAATTTATTAATAGTTTTGTGATAATCGGTTTTGAAATAGTTTTGTTTCCTTTGCTAGAAGTATGATTTTAAATTGAGTTGCAATAACATCATTTTGTTTTCAAATTATTGATTAAATTTTTCATAAATATCTTATTACTTTTTATTGTTATTGAGTTATTCCTTTCTATGGAGTTTAATTATTTGTTAAAAATGATTTTGTTATATATTTTTTATAATATTGTTCTTAAAATATATAAATTGTGTTTACCACCCACCATGTGTGTGTCAACTTTGGCTAATACTGAAAATTTAATTAAAAAAAGCAATCACTTATATTGGCTATGTTGCATATTTTTGGAATTTCTTTAGACAACATGTTTAAATACAAATGTTAGAAAATATGTATTTTGGCTATGTTGCATATTTTTAGAATTTCTTTAATTGTTTGAAACTTATATACATGAAATTATGGAGTATTGGACCCGTCGTTTGTGTTACGTGTGCACCACTATGTTGTTTTGAAACTTGCTAATGTCCTATATTATTGATTATTGATTTTTGGAACTTCGTGAGTTTTTACTAATTTTAAGACATGAGAATAGAAACCGTAAAACCCGGACCGGACCGGACCGACCCGTTTCAAACGGGCCGGGTAAGGTCCGGTTCCTATTTTGAAAATTGCAATACCCGGACCGGACCGAACCGTACAATGGAACCGGCGGTTCCATTTTATTTTGCATTACCCGCCCCGACCCGCCCCGTGCCCAGCCCTAGTCGTCGGACCTCAGCTATGGTCATAACATTTCAAACCAGTCTCGTACATTCTGATCCAACGCAGACAGTCGAGTGAATACAGCAGATTCCTCTTCTGCGTTGTCAGATTTCCAGAGCCGAAGCGCCCTGCGGTCAAGCAAAAGGTATGTGGTATCATTGTGATGAGCAATACATTTGTGGTCACCATTGCAAGCAACTTTTTACACTAGAAATCCTGGATGACAAGGGGAAGAGATGATCTATACAGTTGAAACCAACAGGGCCTTAACGTTACATGATCTGACTGGTTTTGTCTTGGTAGTCTTTGGCAGCACTCATAATTTCATTCACGAACGTGCGGTTAAGCATACCGATTTCCAAAATTTATTCCAGTGATATGTCTTATTTGTTATCATTAGCAAGCTTTGACATCATTTTAGGAGTCCAATGACTCCGCAGTTTGATTTCAATTAATGGGGACTTTGCCCATCTCACAACGAAGTTTTGTTGGTCCAACAAACCAGAGGAATGACATGGCCAAGTCACCATGTCTCGTTTGACATGGCCTTATCCCCAAGCATGGACCTTTATAGAATCAACACTCTCTTTTGGCCGTTTTGTCGACCTCTTTCAGAATCCAATAGGATTGCCTCCTCTCAGATCATGAAATCAATAATCATCATAGGGGTTTCTAAGCTTACATATATGAAATATTAAGACGCAACAATGAGTTGAAATAGTTGTAGCATCCTTGCGTCTTTTCAAATTTGGCAAAGTTAACACTTCCATCATGCAATTTGTGTACATTCAAAATGGAATGAAACATATTTATTTCCATTATATTTGATTGGTTATTTACCATCATTTCCAATGGAGTCAAAAACTCACTATTTTTTGGCTTGGGAATATGATGGAATAAAGCAAAATAGCTCACTTAACTATTCAGCGCATCTTTGTTATGCAACAACAGTCAGTCCATGCAATTTTCGACGTGATTTTTATCATGAGTCATCCGGAAAAAGTCTCTCTGTGCTTTAGTACAGGGGTAAGGCCACGTACATCCAACCCCTTTATCTCACATTGGTGGAAGCCTTTGCGAACAAGGGTAATGTTTTTGTTTCATATTTGATTGGTTATTTTCATAGAATTTGAATTGGGTGAATGAATTGGAAGAGTGTATGAGGGTGTATGATCAAGGTATGGTGACTAGTTTAAAGGGTATGTTTTATTGGACAACAGTTAGGCCTTCGTTATTATAAAGAGTAGAGTGTTGGACAGTGAAATAATGTCACATTCAAAAGATGAGCGTGACGGAAATGCACATGTTGCGCTGGATGTGTGGACATACTAGAAAAATCGTTTGATGAATGAGAAAATCGGACAAAAAATGGTAGTATCACCTTTTTAAGATAAGATGCAGGAGTCTCGATTACGGCAATTTAGCCAATTGCGTAGAAGACCGAGTGATGCACCTGTTAGACAAGTTGAGAGAGAGGTGGAGAGAAGAGTCGGGCTATGTTTGCACAGAAACGTGAAGACTAGTCTTGAGGAAATGGGAAACGTCATGTGTTGCTCGAAGAACAACTGTTTGGAGAGTTTATAAAGAGTTGGCGTAGAGTTTCCGAAATAGAAACATACTCTTTTCCAAGAATTTCCGTGCTTCATAGGAGTCGGTGAGGAGAAGAGTAAGACGCAAACGAGCGATCAGAAATGATATGACACTTCTTGGGTGGATGAGAGTATGACTCTGGAGAGAGTGAAGTGGAGGAAGAATATATGTGTGGTCGTGTGGAAGTTTGATCTCATTTTATCTTTTTAGCTCCGATTTCACATGTCAATTCATGTTAGCCGACCCTAAACTCTTTTGAGACCAAGACTTTGAAGTTGTTGTTGTTATAGTAGTTAATTTCATTATAGTCTTATAGAATACCGTATGTAGACACCAAGGGAAGCCCGGTGCACATTGACGTCCCGTAAGGTGAGGGTCTGAGAAGTGTGCCACCATAAGGGGGCACAAGGAGAAAGTCTTCCCTTGTCGTTTTGGTTGATAATTTTCATTATATATACCTTGGATAGATATGTGCTGCTTAGGTGCATAAAACAAAAGGATAAATAATAATATTTTAGAAATTATTGGTGCCAGTTTTGCAAGGTAATACCATACAAGTGCTAGATGATATTCAGATGGATATAGAAAACTTGAGGTATTACTTATGGTATCAAGCAAGAGTTAAATGAGATGTTTTTGCACAACAAATGTAATTTGTGGGATGTAATTAACAACTGACCCTAACTCCAGTGATATGAAGCAGTGATATGAAGCAGAGTCTGGGCTTGGAAGAAGAGGGGCAGAAGCCTCCGTGGGTTTACTGAAGGCGGGGACGGGTTTGAGCCCGCCTACGTGGGCTGGTTGCGGGATGTTTAATTAATATTTATTCTTTTTCAATTTTCCTGATTTGTTTCCTATTTGGAGTTAATTAGAATTTCTAATATTTGTTTCCTATTAGGAGTTGATTAGGATTTCTATTATTTGTTTCCTATTTGAAGTTGATTCGGATCTTTATTATTCTGTTTCCTAGTTGGAGTTAATTATGGTTTCTAAGATTTTGTTTCCTAGTTTGAGAATTAGTAGATGAGTATTTAAACCCCTTGTTAGGATTCATTGTGGATCATCTTGGAATAAAATTGATTTTAGCCTTTTGGTTCCAGGCAATGGTATTTTCATCATTGATTATCCGGTCAACGGTTTACCCTGTTGATTTTATTTTTCTGTTCACAACATCTAGTGCCAACAATCGATGGTTGACACTTTATTGGAATATCAATCAATATCAATATCAATCATCATTTACCCCAGTGCTGCAAAGGCTCCCACCTACGGTGGGATAAGGGGGGTCGGATGTATGCAGTCTTACCCCTGTACTAAAGCACAGAGAGACTGTTTCCGGATGACCCATAATGAAAATCGCGTCCAAAATTGCATGGACTGACTGCTCCTTCATAACAAAGAAGAACAAACAGTTTTTCTTTAATAAAAACTAAACTTTTGTTTAGTTAGAATCTATATTAAAATTAAAATTTTCTGTAATAAAAGTAATTTGGTAGCTAAACTTTTGTACTTGGAACTATTCTTTTTCTGCTGCACTCTGATATCCTTTCATTTTCAAATAGGGAAGAGAAAGCCACAATTGATACTTCTAGATCATGGCTTATACAAAGAACTCGATAACTCTACAAGAATGAACTATGCTGCACTCTGGAAGGTGAATTACGGTGCCCAATAGAACTAACGTTATCTGTAATTAATAAATTAGATAACTCTCAACTTATCATGGTTCTTACCAATTTTATTATTATTTAATATAGGCATTAATAAACTCTGATGCCAAAGGTATTAGGGAAAACAGTGCAAAACTGGGTGCTGGTGACGATCTGTATGCGTTGTTTGCTGGGATTCTTACAATGAGACCATGGAATAAAGTAGTCGACACATCCGTTGATCATTTGGTTATCGAAGGATCAGACAATGAGCGTTCGGAAATTCAGGTCAAATTCTTTTCAGGGAAACACATTGTTACCATTTATATGGCAAGAATAATTTGTCAACAGCCTTTGGGTATGTTTGGGAGTTGGGTATTGGAGGGAAGGGGTAAGTTATTATTTTTAAATTAAGCGAATTATTGGGTAATAAAAATAGTCAAAGCTAGGACATTGAGTTCATATTTAAAAAGTAAAGCACTATTTTCATAATCATCACATTGTCGTCATCATATTCATCATCGTAATCCAAGTAGTTGGTGTTGGTGGCATTAAACTTTAGTGGCAATTTTTTATGCTCAATGCACTTTCTGTTGGAACCTTCTTAAGATGTAAAATAACTCATCTCTTCCATTCCCCTCCAAAAAACTTTTTGAAACGTGGCCTTAATGAGTAATGTAGTTGAGGTGAAATGTGATTTTAATTGAAGTTTGGGATTCTCAATTAATTAAAGAATATGTAAAATTGAGTAATCAACATTTAAGAGTGCAACTTCAGGTAGATCATTAACGTTTTTTGATGTTTCACAGATGCATGCTTCATCACACTTCCCTCAAATCACTGAGCTACTTAGGAGATTGCCTCGTGTTATTCTTTTAATGCTGAAGACAAATGACTGTCTACGAGCTGTTAACAGGGCCTTGGTATGATTTGGCTAGATATGTTCTGTTGATTTTTTTAAAAACATTTTGTTTTGCTGTGAATGCGGCAAGGTAAATAAGAACTTGATACCTTGTGATTGAAATTCAATCCAAATACCATCTAATTATGTTTTCATTAATGTTTCCCTTTATCACTTCTAAAGTTTTGATTATGTTTTTGGTCCTAGTAATCTAAACTTGTTTTTAACTTGGTCCTTGCACATTACTTTTTTGCAAGAATATTCCTGTAAAATAGCTTTTTTATTTGATCTTTGACATGTGATTACCACATCAGCATTTTGCGGAAATGAAAAAACTAACAGCATGATCAAAACCGAAACAAAAAGGTTCTACACCGATTACAGGGACTAAAAACATAATTCAACCCCAAATTACTATTGATTTTTTGGCCAAATGTTCCTCCTTAGTTCTATCTGTATTGTTAAGCGTCCTGTTATTATTGAAAGCATATAAATAAGTTCTTATGTACTTGGTATAAAGTATATATGTGACATAATAGGAGTGGTGTTTGTTATGCTTTGTCACAGACCCTAGGTTCCTCTCTGGAGACCTTTTTAATTATTGGAAAAGTTTCATCCGAGGCAGTTCTGGAATCAACATTGGAGAAGAGTTCGCTATTATCCCGGATCAACTTCCGGTTCCAGAAGCTTTTGCTAGAAGCCCGTCTTTATGGAATGCAACTAGCTGTTTGGCTTATGCAGCTTCGGAAGTTATTGGCAGTCTGATATCACTAACCCCGCCTCAAGAATGAATTCCTTGAAGAGTCTTTCTTTCTATGGAGAAGACAGCATAAGGTATTACGATCTGATTATACGCCTACTTGACAGGACTCATTTTTTGATTTTTCCGAAGTATGGATCCCAACAGTTAAGTGCAAGTCGAAAGGTGCCACATAAGGCAAAGAGGATGGTCCTTCAAAAACTAGACCATTCTAAAGTTTTGATTATTATTTTGAAGTGATTTTAGAATATGGCAATTCTTTACCAATTTGATGCACGAAAGGCGCATCTAGTTGATTGCGTTGGCTCCTTCATACAATATATATTATTCTCCTGCTGTACCAAAAAAACAATGCCGGAGACGAGCATTTGATTGCATTGTGAGCTCACAAGTGACTAATTCGAGAGCTTTTTAATTTCCTAAATAGAGTTTATCGAAGGATAATCATGATTGGAATATATTATACTTGAGCATTGAGATGTGAAGGGTGTACCGTGTTAATTCATCAATATAATTTCAATCCTTTCCAATGTATTTAAAGAGTTTTTCCCAAATGGGGATATTTCATTCGCCATATCACCACAATAGCCTAGGGGTGGACCCGGGTCGGGCCTTTTTTTTGGAAAGGGGGAACCGGAACCGGCCCGGGTAGGCGGCGGTTCCGGGCTGGTTCCGGTTCAATTCTTTTGTTTTTTGTTTTTGATTTCTTATTTATTTCATCCTCCACTCCCCCGCACCCCCAAACCCCTCGGAAACACTCAGCCCAGCCCAACTAAACCCAGCCCAAACCCAAAATTAGGGGTGGACTGAACCGGGCCGGTTCGGGCCTCGGGCCTGGGCCCGGCCGGGCCTCGGTTCAGTATATATAGGCCCGAGCCCGAACCGGGGTTGGCCGGTTCCGGGCCGGTTCCGGGCCGGGCCACCCGCCCTATTAATTTTTTTTTTTTGGCTTCTTTATTTAATCCCCTACCCCTCTTTCTCAACCCCAAACCACCCCAAACCATCTCAAATGGACCAAAATACCTAATCTAACCCAAAACATAAAAAATTTTCAAAAAAAAAAAAAAAAATTAATTCCGGCCCGGACCGGGCCCGAACCGGCCGGGCCGGTTCACCATATGGAAGGCCCGGGCCCGGAACCGGGAACCACCGGGCCGGTTCGACCCGAACCGCCGGTGCACCGGGCCACCGGGCCACCGGGCCGGGCCGGTTGCTACAGTGGCCGGGCCGGGCCGGTTCCGGGTCGGGCCGCCCGGCCCGAGTCCAGGCCTACCCAAAATAAAAACAAAAAATAAAAAATAAAAAAGGCCCGAACCGGGCTTGACCTGGCCGGGCCGGTTCGCCTTTTGCATGACCCGGGCCCGGAACCGCTTAACCCTCGGGCCTAAGCCCGAACCGGAACTGATTTCTCGGGCTGGGCTGGTTCTAAACAGTACCGGGCCGGGTGGCCCGAGCCGAGTCCATCCCTACAATAGCCACGTGCACTTATGCTTTGTTAGTGCAATCGCCACGTCAAATATTTCACATCATTAATGGGTTAATCCATATAATCAAATTTAGGTGTGCTAAAAGCCTAAAACTGATGGGAAAAATGGGTCTAACAATAATTGAACCCCTCGCACACATGAGTCACATGACACATCCCCACTAAACTAACGCATTCATTTGTTACAATCGCTCCCTTAGAAATATTTGAAGTATACGTATATTAAGTTTAAGAATGTACAAGTTTAATTCATGTATTACCTATTTTCTTTAACAACATATTACTTCATTCCTCAAATAATTATAAAATATAAAAAAATATTTGAGACATTGAAGTAAAAATAATACCTAATTAAAAATTTACTAAAAACTTAATAAAATAAAAATAAGTAAATGTCATGCCATGCCCTAGTTCACAAAAATATATAAAAAATCTGTATTATTAATGTAAATAAAGTGTAAAATTTATTAATGTAAAAAACCTGTATTATTTACTTACTTATTTATTTATTTAATTTAGTTAATTATTAATTAATTAATTAATTAATTAATTAATTCATTTGTATTTATTTACTTACCGATTCATTTATATATGCATTTAATTATTCAACACTTTTTACTGTCTCTTATCACTATATCTCTAAAGTTTTTAGTTTACTGTCCTTATTCAACACTTATATAAGTTCCTATTTTAATGAGCAATATCTATAAAGATTAATTAGAAGATTGTAATGGTTGATTTAAAAGTTCAAGGAACAAATCAGAGGAAAATAATTTAAATATCCCAAACTTTGTAGGAGTGTGAGATAAGTACCCCAAACTTGCATATATAATACTACGTAGTGTATATATATATACTCCAAATTTTATATAAAAAATAAATGTTAGCACCTTGATCATATATTTTTCATATGAATGTAATTTTATGTTGTTAAGTACGTAATAATTAAAATACACAAAACATTTATGAGGATGTAGTTGAAATGAAATTGTATCGAATGTAATATTATTTATTTCACAAATGAAACTTTAGAATGTTAAACATGTTCTAACAAAGCTTAGAATATTTTAAATTATGATATTGTTCCAATAAATTTGCATTTGTAAAATAACATTCAATCATGGTGCAAAAATAACTTTTCACATAAAATTCGGTGTATATTAAATATGCAAGTTTGGAGTCTTCATCTCACATCCCATTAAAGTTTGGAGTATTTAAATTATTTTCCCCAAATGATATGGTGATAATAATTTAAGGATCATTTGTGCATTTTACTCATTTATTTATGTAATATAATGAAAACATAAAAAATTTGTAAGGAGATATAAGTATCTAGGAATTTTACTACATAGTTAAATTGACTTATGGGATATATTGATTTCCAACCATATATAAAAGTTGCTAATTAAATATTGTAGTCAATGCAGCTTAGTATATCAATATAGTACAAATCAGATTCATACTACAAAGTTTAATCATTTAGTCCTTGCTCCGTATCTATCAAATTTGTGTTTCCCTTAATACAAACAATAGTAAAAAAAGTACACATTTAAAACATGTTTAAATACGGTTAATTTAAGTTAACAAAGACAATAAGAGCCTATTCAATAACTCTTTTCGCCTTATCAGCCTTATCAGTTATCAGTCACTTTTATACCAAACGTGCCTTATCAGTCTTATCAGTTATCAGTCACTTTTATACCAAACGTGTACGCGGCGTTGAGTTGTGTAATAATTAAAAAAAATATATAATTTGGTTGTGTAATAATCAAAATATATGTAAGGATGTATTTTGTGGATGAGTTGGTTGAATTTGGTGAAAATGAATATTTTAACGTAACAATTTTTTCATATAATTTATGATGATAAATATACGATTAACATAAATATAGTAGATTAAAATGAGACTTTTTATACTTTATGTGGATTTTGTTATGCACACAAAGACACAATTGCAGTATAATGCATTGCACGATGCGCGACAGTTAAATGCCCAATACTATATTGATGAGTATATAATTGAATGAAAATGTGTTATTATTAGTTAATACTTCATATAATGTAGTCCATATTTAGGGATGCTAAGAAATATTAAAACAAACTGTGTGAAAAAAGCATTTGATACAAAGATACACGTGATTTCAGAACTAGTAATCTTTACTAGTGTGTGAACTCAAATATTTGTAAAAAGATGATGTGTAGGAGGGACCATTTTGCATATGTTTGTTTGAGTAAATTACTAAATAGGACTTTTTTCTTTTTTCTTTTACTCCAGGGGGTCTGAGGGAGGGGGTCTGGGGGAGCCCTGGAGTAATCTAGGCTGAAACTAAATCCTTTGTGTTTCGAACCCTTATGTGCCTAGCAGATTTTGAACTCGAGCCCCCCCACTAGACATGATAACCTCACAATTAGCTGGGCTGAAATGCTTGATTTATCTAAATAGGACTAAAAGAGAATAAAACTTCACAAGTAGGAGTAGTACTTTTAAAATTGTCAAAATAGGTGTTATTTTTTGTGATTGGACAAAAATGCCCTTGCCACCTACCACAGCCAGGCTCTGGCCACCACCGGCCGTTTGCCGCTAGAGCTCCACTACTGCCCAGTTTCTGACCGTTGCCACCGCCGCCGGAGCTATGACTGGGCCAAAAAAATTCCAGATCTTTTGCCCCGCCGCTAGTCGCCGCCGCCACCACCGGACTGTCCTGCCACCAGCGAACTGTCCCGCCACCACTAGCTAGCCTGAGACGTTTGGGACATGTCTGCCTTTCTCTATCATGCAAATGGGGAGGTCCGCCCTGTCGACATGTCTGCCTTTCTCTATCATGCAAATGGGGAGGTCCGCCCTGTCCTATGCACACAATGAGATGGGAGCTGGCTAGTATTAGTAAGGACCTATGTTCAGTGGCTGACACAGGGGTGAAAAAGGGGGGCTGCTGCCCCTCTAAAAAAAAATCTAAGTATATTTACCCCAAAATTTTAAATGTATATGTATTTGTATGTATATTTTTGTACTGCCGTCCCTGCTCCTGGAAATTCCTGCGTCCGTCGCTGCCTGTGTTGCTCAGTGTCGCTCAATATATATATAATTAAATATACATATACTTTGTAAAACTATACTACAAATATTCATATACCTTTTTTCAGCACACAAAGAGAAATTTATTGGTGAGGAAGAGTGGAAAAAAATAAAATATTAAAATAAAATATGTAAATGTATAATACCATTAATACGGCTTATACGGATGACCTTGTCTGAGTTAAGTAGAGATGACTTTGCTGGCACACATGGGGTACCGTATCTATCATTCATTTGATTGGTCCAAATAGGTATATCATTTTTAATTTAGATTTAAATAATTTCACTGCAACATTCTGATTGGGACATGTGGACAAAGGTATGGTACCTTTTGGGTACCATAGAATCCACCTATTTAAAAATAACCCCTAAGACCATCTCCAATGCACCTCTTTTGACACTAAATAAATTTGCCACATCATTAATTTACAAAGTGTGATGAATTTTTAGTCCCCAACCCATTCTTTCACGAGCCCATTGAATCTGACATGGACTCAACACTTTCATCTCCTCTGTTGATATTCAGAAAGCAAGTTTAATGCTGTGGAGGAGGCATTCTCCCACAATTCCTGGAATTCCGCAAAAATAAAAGATGCACTTATCTCTATTTCCGGCAAATAATTTACCTCCTCACCCACAAACTCAAACTATCTTCCGGTGCGAGTTCTAGTAATGACGGGTCCTTTTTATATTTGCTACTTGTTTCCGATATTAATCAAAATTAATTATGCAGAGGTGACTTCATGGTACAATCGTAGAAGAGCTGAAGAAACATTAAAAAAGGACAAATTAAATAGTGAAACCTAAAAACTCCTCCAATTTATTTTTCTTTCGGTGAACTTCTGCCATGGACGGCATGAAGTATGATATGACTCCACAGGATTCTATAGTTCGTTTATATAGGGTTTTTTGGCAACAAGAATTTAGATGTAGTCGAGTGTTTTAATATTAAATGACAAGTACG